TTTAATTTTTAAAAACAAAAAAAAAAAAAAAAAAAAAAAAGAAGATGATGATGACGAAAATGATAATTATAAAGAAGTGACACTTCTTTGCAGTAAATTGTTTTGGTAGGACGGAAATAAATCAAGCAAGTGAACACAGTCAGATAACTTATTGATAACTGTCATATTTTTTTAAAGAAAGCTGAAAGAACAAAAAGAAAAGAAAAAGAAAAGGAATAGAACAGAAAAAAAATAACAGGTCGATCCTGTTGTTTAGGTTGTGCCGATGAGTGCAAAATGAAAAGCAGTCTCGTCTTCAGTTGATATCAACAGATCGAATAAGTTGGGCGATCCGCAACAAATCTGCGGGTCATCAGATCAACGTATATAAAGTGGCGGTAAAACCCAATCACTTTCCTGGGCAAATTCTCTCCCGCAAGGTTACCTGTAGCATACTTCAGCAGTATTACTGTTTTTCAAAAAAAAAACATCTATCATCAATTGAATTATTTGATGTCCACTTTGTGAGGTAAAAAATTTTCTTCCATCTTCAATATAACTGTTATTCTAACCAGTAACACATCAACAGCCAAAGTTAAGTTATCGATAAGTTGTCGATTTTAGTGACCCCTGTTGTTTAAAGCTAAAACTGTTATGCCGATCAAAACCAAACTATTCATATTTCTCCCTTCTTTATTTTTTTGTACATATCTTTTAGTTTTTTTTTTTAAAATAATTTGATATATCATTTTATGCATATTCGCTTCTTTAACCTTTTGTAAAAGAAAAACAAAAATTAACAGCTTCAAATGGATTCAATAGTGTATAGAAGAAACTGTGTTGACAGCAAACAATCTTTGATCAAAGGAAAAAAAAAACTGTATACCTAACGTAAAGAATTACAATGACGAAAAAGTTTTATTCTTGATACCCCGTTTTTTTTTAGTGTAATTTGAATCACTGATGAAAACGTAATCAATCTCAAGAAAGATGGCAAGAAAAAAACAAAAGCTGTTTTTTTTTTTTTTCCGATAAAGTGACTGTAAAAAGGTGTCTGAGAAACAGTTTTAATAATCTATAATTTCATATCAAAACTACAATAAATCTTAACAGTCAATATAAAAATAACAAAACTTGAAAGAATAATTTGACCAACAAAGTATATATGTTTGGATGAGATGTATTAGTTTGGTCTACTAACTGAAAAATTTTGAACTTTTAGACAACATCAGCTTTTTTAAACAAATATTATCAGCTTCATTTGGTTTTTGTCAAAATTTTATCGCAAAAGTTAATGGTTAAAAAATCCAAAAAAAAAAAGATATTTGTAATCTTAACAAAAAGTTATGACAAAAGAAAAAAAAAGTAATTAGAGAAGAATTTGAACAATACTGCGCTTTTTTTTTTTTGTGAACTTTTATTCAACATTTCATCTTTGATTGTTGAAAACCAAAAGTCTTTCTATCCTAATTTGTCTATATTGAACACATTTCGCTATAAATTTTCATTTTGCAACTTTTTTTTTTAATTTTTTCTTCTTCCTTTATACAGTGCTGAAAACTATTCTGAGAGCATTCTTAAACCTACATTAAATAATTTTGAATTCAAAAATAGATAAGCCTGATCGGTGAGTGACAAAATGCTGTGGTAGCTAAAAGTTCCCTGTTATGCTAAATCTTTAGCAGTGACCAATTCTTTGCAATTTTGGAGACTATATTTTACTTTGTAAACCATTGCATTCTGACAGCCAAAACCACTTGAAAATGCCAAAAAGTTAACAACAATTCACAAGTTTTAAAGAAAGTTTTCCTGCACAACGTTGTTGAACCTTTTTTAATATACAGCGCTATACGATTAGCCTTAAAATCTTGAATATTTTTCGGTATGGTTTCTATATAAAAACATCTTCGACAGAAGTAATCCCTTCAATAAAAACAATCACAGATTCCAGTTTTCCACTGAAATACCTATATTTATCAGACATATTTTCAGTTCTTCTTAACGTACAACCTTATCTTTCTCTGCTGAGACAATTGTTTACCGATGATATTGAAGAAATAGAAATTACATCCCAAATACTGCTTCATCACAGCAAATGTATAGTTCTGTTTTTCTTTTTTCCTTAAAGATCGTCATTTTATCAAAAAATAAGAACTAAAACAGTTCTACAAAACTTTTAATTGCAGCTTTCAAAATCCAAAAATTTTGCAACTGGAGAAGTTTTGGTAAAAGCATAACTGCCCAAAATCTGACACTTAAGTCTTTGGTAAAAGTTTTGCTAAAATTTCTTCAATTTTTTTTATCTTTTTTAAAATCAGAATGCCACTTTTACCTTATACAACTTTATTTCAAACTGTTTACCATTCTAACGTACGTTTTCCTCAGTGGCAACATCCTTCAGCACCTGGCTGCTTTCTCTCCATTTGCGCTCCTTTTTGCCCGTATTCAGGGTTTTTCTTTTAATTTTTTAGCTACTTTAGCCATCCAAACCTTAGATAAAAGCTGAATAAGCTCTATCATTATTGACATATGCGTTGCACTCCAATTCAGTCTCGCTTGTGATAAGTTTTAAAATAGCGACGAAATGATGGAGAAAAAAAACCGAGAAGGAACTCCAAAACAGCTATCACACTTCACTTAGCATAACTTTGCACTTTCCTGAAAAAAAGATTAGCTGTCGGCCAAATACACCACTTATAAAGCCATTATATTGATATCCGTGATTCATTTCTTAAAATAAAGGTTGCCGTTTGTTTGCTTGTTTGGTTCATAAATATTGGCCTGATTTTGTTTCTCCAAAAAGGTCAGAATTCTATTCCGCTTCCAAATTACTCGTCACAGCAAGAAACATAAATAACGATGTAAGAGGGCCAAAATAAAAATAATTTTTAAATCCCTTCAGCATAAAAGTTTAGAAACCCTAGAGGTTAAAAACTGCAATTTTCAGCTTTCTTTAAAAACTCCTAAATCAAAAAAACATTTTTCTTCCAACTGGATAAATTACAATTTATTAAAAAATGATACTTAGCAGGAGAAAGATCCCGAGGGTAAGGCGAAGAGCAAAAAGGTTTGTTTCCAAGCTTCTAAGCTTTTTTTTTTTTTCTTTGCGGTATCTGGAAAAAATGGCCGGACGTTTCCACGTGGTATTAACAGTTTCCTTCCCCAAAAGACTTGAGTGCAAGCCCTTCAAATTTCTGTTCATGTTCACAAATATACAGCAGTACTTTTTGTTTTTTTTTTCTTTTTTCTTGCATTAATAACCTCATCAGATTCAGAAATTTAACGTGGATTACGCCAAAAATTTTTCAATAAATTTTGGCCATTATTCTAGCCTGTTATCAATCGTTCTATTCAAAATATGCAGCAAACGGCGATTCCTTTGTGCATCCGACAGTCTATGTTTCCAACGGTCTAATAAAAAATAAAACCAC